TCTACACAAGTTTATGAGAGTAAGTTTGCTGAACTTGATAAAATGTATCAACATCTTTCCCAACTTCAACAAAATACCACCGCCACTTTAAATCAAGTTTCTCACAGTGTAGCTGCCTTAGACAGCAAGATAATCAACTTAATTACTGCCACTCCTGTTAACCCACCTTCTGTTCCCAACCTGTCTCCAAGTCCTGTGTTGCCATTCAGAGAACCAGATCTGAGACCTTCTGAACATTTTGAAGGTAATATCAGTCTATGTGGGGGATTTTTGCTCCAATGCAACTTGGCCTTTGCTCGCTCCCCATCTCTGTTTCCGAATGATTACGCTAAAATAACTTACATTGTTTCAGCATTAAAGGGAAAAGCTCTCCGTTGGGCCCAAGCGTTTCTAAGTGCCCATTCTCATGATTCTCCAACTTCTCAAGCTTTCATTCAAGAATTCCAACATGTATTCGACCATCCACTTCACCAGGAGGCGGCCACAAAACAGCTATTATCACTACGACAAGGAAGTGAGTCGGCAGCCGATCACTCTGTGGACTTTCGTATTGTGGCTGAGGAGGCTGGATGGGACGAACTAGCATTAAGTGGTACATATATTAATTCTTTAAATGAGAACATAAAGGACCAGCTTGCCTCCCGGGATGAACCCGGGAGCTTGGATGAATTAATCACTCTCTCTATCCGCATCGACAACAGAATAAAGGAACGTAGAAAGGAAAGAAACTACGTTACCCATAATCCTCAGCATGTTTTTTTCGGTCAACCGAGAATAACAACACCAGAACTTCCTCATCGCCTGAGTCTGAGTCTGAACCTGAACCGATGCAGGTGGGGAGGACCCAGCTATCTCCTGAGGAAAGACAGAGACGATATGCCACGAAGGTCTGCATCTACTGCGGTAACAAGGGACACTTTGTCACCACTTGTCCTGTACGGGGAAACGGACCGGCTCGGCAGTAAAACGGGGGACGCCGCCAAGTTCATCCCAAATCTCCCCTGCCTCGTTTCTGTCTGTAACTGCTACCATACTTCATGATCAAATTAAATTGCCCGTTTCTGCTCTTATCGATTCTGGTGCAGAACAAAGTCTGATCTCCAGAGACATAGTGGAACAACTCCAACTCCCCACCATACCACTCACCTCATCTCACTCCATCACAGGGCTAACTGGACAACATCTTGCCCAAATCACTCACAAGGACTCGGATCTTCACGTTGTTGTCTCTGGCAATCATCATGAGCTGGGTGAGTTTCTTGTCTTTGATTCACCCATATCTCAGTTAATTTTTGGGTATCCCTGGCTCACCAAACACAACCCCATTTTTAATTGGTCAGAATGTCGTTTAGAGAGTTGGAGCAAGGATTGTTTAATGTCCCGTCTTAAAATGGCTGTCTCTACTCCCGTTAAAGGGAGGGAACCCCCCGATGATATCGATTTAACTAAGGTTCCCCCAGTTTACCATAGCCTGGCCCACGTTTTCAGTAAGAGTAAAGCCTTGACACTACCCCCGCACAGACCTTACGACTGTGCTATTGAACTCCTTCCTGATGCTACATTTCCATCCAGTCGGTTACATAACCTTTCAGGCCCCAAAAATGAGTCTATGAAAGATTACATCAAAGACTCCTTAGCATCCAGTATAATCCGCCCCTCCACTTCTCCACTAGGGGCAGGGATTTTTTTTGTAGACAAGAAAGATAAGACCCTCAGACCCTGTATTGATTATCGAGGATTAAATGCAATCACTGTAAAGAATAAATACCACCTTCCACTAATTGATTCAGTTCACGATCAGTTCCATTCTGCAACCATATTCGCCAAGCTAGACTTACACAATGCGTACCATTTGGTAAGAATAAAGGAGGGGGACGAATGGAAGACTGCTTTTAAGACCCCCCTTGGACACTTTGAATATTTGGTGATGCCTTTCGGACTCACAAATGCACCCGCTGTTTTCCAGGCTCTCATTAATGATGTCCTACGAGATTTTTTGGATGACTTTGTTTTTGTCTACTTAGATGATATTTTGATCTACTCCCGTGATGAAAGAGTACATGTTAACCATGTTAAGGCTGTACTACAGCGTTTGTATGAGAATCAACTATTTGTAAAAGCCGAAAAGTGTGAGTTTCATGTAACCTCTGTCCCCTTCTTGGGTTTCATTTTGGAGAAGGGACAGTTTCGTGCAGACCCAGAGAAGGTCCGAGTTGTCACTGACTGGCCAGTCCCTAAAGACTGCAAACAACTCCAGTGGTTCCTAGGCTTCGCCAACTTCTATAGACGGTTCATTCAAGATTACAGCCGGATTGCTGCTCCCCTCACTCAACTCACCTCCACATTAAAAACCTTTTGTTGGACTCCTGAGGCAGACACAGCGTTTGAGTTGAAAGCTCGTTTCTCCTCTGCTCCTATTTTGTGCCACCCTGACCCCAAGAGGCAATTTATTGTAGAGGTTGATGCCTCGGATCTCGGTGTTGGGGCAGTCCTGTCCCAACGTTCAGACGCAGACAACAAGGTCCATCCCTGTGCCTTTTTCTCTCGGCGACTATCCCCAGCTGAAAAGAACTATGACGTGGGCAATCGTGAACTATTGGCTATCAAATTGGCTCTGGAAGAATGGAGACACTGGCTCGAGGGTTCCGAAACACCTTTTGTTATTTGGACTGACCATAAAAATCTAGCCTACTTGCAGAACGCTAAGAGACTAAACCCCAGACAAGCCCGATGGTCCTTTTTTTTTGCCAGATTCAATTTTTCCATAACATACATACCCGGTTCTAAAAACGTTAAACCCGATGCTCTCTCCAGACAATTTTCACCCTCAGGTTCTCCCAAGACCAACTCAAGCATTCTCCCGTCCACTTGCTTCATAGGGACCCTGACCTGGGATATCGAAAACGCCATCAGATTGGCACAAGCTTCTGAACCTGGCTCTGGACCACAAGGAAGGAGGTTTATCTCCAAATCAGTTATTGGTAAGGTACTGGACTGGGTCCATAACCATCGCTTTACCTGCCATCCCAGAGTCACACGTATGATTGCCTTCTGTAAAAGACATTTCTGGTGGCCAACTCTGTATCCTGATATCACAGACTTTGTCTCTGCCTGTTCAACATGTGCGCGAAACAAGAATGGAAATCAACAGCCTGCCAGTCTCCTACAGCCTTTACCCATCCCAAGTCGTCCCTGGTCACACATCTCTCTGGAATTCGTCACTGGTCTCCCGCCCTCTGAAGGTAACACTGTCATTCTTACTATCATTGACAGATTTTCCAAGTCTGCACACTTCGTCCCTCTACCCAAATTACCCACCGCTTTGGAGACCGCTCAGCTGATGGTCACCCACGTTTTTCGCCTTCACGGCATCCCCCTGGACATCCTGTCGGACCGTGGACCCCAGATCATTTCTCAGGTCTGGAAGGCATTCTGTACTACCCTCGGATCTAAGGTTGGTCTCACTTCTGGTCATCACCCCCAGTCTAATGGTCAATCCGAAAGGTGTAACCAAGAACTTGAAACATCATTATGCTGTGTCATCAATAACAATCCCACATCCTGGTGCAAACATTTACCTTGTGTCGAATATGCTCACAACTGTCACACCTCCTCTGCCACTGGTTTTTCTCGCTTTGAAATTTCACTAGGCTACAACCCTCCCTTGTTCCCCAACGATGAATCTGAAGCCTTGGTCCCCTCCGTCCAACACCACCTCCGACGTTGTCACAAGATATGGAACCAGACCAGAAGAGCCTTAATGCGTAACGCCCACCGGAAAAAAAAGGTTTGCCGACAGGCACCGTTCATCCGCACCCTCGTATAATGTAGGACAGAAAGTATGGCTCTCCACCAGAGATATTCATTTAAAGGACTTTCCGAGGAAACTCTCCCCTAGGTTCATCGGGCCTTTTCCCATGGAGAGAATCATAAATCCCTCTGCTGTGAGGTTCCGTCTGCCCTCTTCCATGAAGGTCTACCCGACCTTTCATGTGTCGCAGATCAAACCTGTGGGTGTCAGCTCCCTCAACCCTCCAACTGACCCCCCCACCACCCGCCCGGCTGGTTGACAACGACCCGGTTTACACCGTTAGGCGGATCCTGGACGTTTGTCGCCAAGGCCGTGGTTTCCGATACCTAGTGGACTGGGAGGGATACGGCCCGGAGGAGAGATCATGGATACCCAGGTCGTATATTTTGGACCCTTCTCTCATAACCTCTTTTTACAGGGACCACCCTGAGAAGCGACTGAAATCGCCTGGAGGCAATGTTTAAGGAGGGGGTACTGAGGCATTTCAGCTACTGCTGCTTCTGTTTTTTTTTTCCTTGATTGGTTGGCAGCACTAATCATACTCACTTGCTACAGATGACTCATCTGCTCACTGGCTTTATAAGGATTCACTGTGGATCAGGACTTCGCTGAAGCAACGCTTATGTTTGGTAAAAGCAGCTCAGCCTGAACTTAGCCTTGGTTATCTGTGCCTGTTAATGTTTGTTTGTTTTATTTACCTGCCTCCTGAGAAACACTCCCCTGAGAGCAACTCACCTGAGACCATCTGCACGCTGCCTGTCTGCCTCCTCCACAAACCTGTAAATATTCACCTGTACACCTGCACCTGTAAATACACCTGGAACCTGGAAACTTGCCTTCAGAGCTGAAGACTCTGCACCCACCTGTAAGAAGACATTGCACTCCAACTTACCTGACGAATCTGCTCCACAGAAAACTAATCCTCGTTCTTACCACTTTCAGATCCCGAACCCATCCTTCCCTGGTTTAAATAACATATTTTTATAAACTTTTCTGAGCCTGCTGTTCTGGGTTTACCCACATTGACCTTGTTTAAAACCTGATAGTCTGCTCTGTGGTACAGAGTCCTGATGACTCCTAACTTGTGCTCCAAAGGGTGATGGGAGTCAAACTGCAAATATTGGTCTGTGTGGGTGGGTTTGCGATACACCTCAGTTTGCAAATGTCCTCTATCAGAGACTGAGACCTGACAGTCCAAGAAAGCCAATCTGCCATTTTTTACATCTTCTCGTGTGAACTTGATGCATTTATTCACAGAGTTGATGTGGTCAGTAAAATGTTAGACTTCCTAGGATTTAATTTTAACCCAGGTGTCGTCAACATACCTGAACCAATGACTTGGTGGTGTCCCTGAAAAGGACGTCATGGCTCTCTTTTCTACCTCCTTCATGTACAGGTTGGCAACAATAGGAGAAACTGGAGACCCCATAGCACACCCATTTTTCTGCCTATAATATTGCTCCCCATATGTAAAGTAGGTTGACTGCAGGCATTTGGTGTTAAAGTATTTTCTTCGACAGCTACGTAGCGAAGCTACATGCTAACTACTGCCGGCTTGCCATAGCGTTGCCGTATTCGGATGCATGCGCAAAACAAAGTGTTCCGTCGAAAGTTTTTGGGGGGTTTTCCATCGCAAGTTAAAGTAAGCATTAGTTAGCTTTAGAGAAACCTGCTCTCTGATTTGTAAAAGACTGCTGTGTTGTGTGATTTTAATGCAAGACCCTCTGATCAAAGCCACCGACTCATTTTGTGTCAGAATAAGAATCAGAATAAGTTTTATTATCATTGCACCAAGATACAACGAGAACATGTACATGTAGTCGTCCGAAAGATGGACGAAGTTCACGAAGCTGCTACTGCACTGAGCGCAGCCTTCTTATCCTTATCAGATAATAATCTTATATAGAAAAAGGGGGAGAAACATGAGGGTAGATAGTAGTATTACAAAAAAAAAGATCTTTCACATCTTGTCTATCAGGACACGATTGAGACATCAAAAACACCCTACCAGCAAACACAACTAAAACATGATTACATTTGCATTTGACCTCAAGGTGTTGAGATTTGTCCATGAGCGTTTTTTTCAGATCGGCCACAGTTTCTGAAGATGTTGTTTCAGCCAGCAGTTCTGATAAGCTTGCACAGAAAGTTCTCGGGGTGTGTGTGTGTGTGTGTGCGATAGATGAAGCTTTTGTCCTTGGTTACCCATGTCCCAGGAGAAATTTGATAGTCGGCCCATCTCCCAGGCCATCGGGGAGTGAATTTCAGATAAGCTTGATTGTTGTTTTTCTTGGAAAAAAGATTACTTTATTCCAGCCTTGAGTCCATCTGGGCGTTCTGGTTCCGAAAATGCCTAATTGTGAGATTCCATTCCACTGATCCATGCTACGAGTCTCCCTCAAGGTCGAACCCACCATGCTGACGAGTCCCAGAAGCCGGAGGTGGCCTGCGATTCTCATAAATTGCCTCCACCTTACGGTTTTGCTCGTAAACCAGATGATTTAAAGTTCCTACTACAAGGACCAAACCTTCACACTGACTCTGAAGCTTTTCCATGGCCGAAACTGCTGCCAATGTCTTCTTCAAAAGTCGATAAAACAGAGCCCCGCGATGCCAAAAACAGAGTTCTTGCTATCATAAAACCAAATATGTAAACAGCTTCAACATCCTCCTGAGACAGGACTGAGAGGCACATCAGCTGCCATACTCCCCACAGATCCATGACATGCCCCACAACGTGAGTCTCAGCTAGACACGTCGGTTCTCCAGGACCTTGTCGCTTTGATGAAAAAAATCTCATCAATAGAGTTGAATGCCCAAGATACCAAATCCATAATCTTCTTAATTTATCCTGATGCATGTTCAATAATCCAAGTAGAAAAATCTAAAAAGTTCAATCTGGTCCACTGGACATTCAAAAAAACAAACAAAAAAAAAGCAAAAAAATGTAGATACGTTTCGTCTTTCATCCTGTAGTGAACTAAGCCTCCGGTCAAGACCTGCCTCTGAAGACCTTCATGGGACAGGAACTGTTATTTCATTGATTTGAATCCAGAAATACAAATTAGCTCATCCAGAGTCTTTCTAATTGTATCCTGAACTAATCAATTGAAAGAACACTCTCTTTTTTATATTATCATTACTATTTTACAATATCTTGATAATCAAGTGTGTTTAGTTCATACCATTTTAAATGTTGAAATGAACCACTCATTTTAAATCAACTGTGAAACAGTATTAATGATTTTTAATCCTCATTCAAAGTAGAAATCAAGTTAAATGTCTGTTACAAAGTAATTATGCATTTTTGATCTTCTGTCTGAAATGAGAGAGTGATGTCTGTCAAAAGTCGGAGACAGTCGCAAACAAGTTTATTGGAACGAACTGTCATGTTTTTAAACCTCTCAGACAGAAACAAGAAAAATGGCACCTGTAAGTCTGTAATTTCTCCAAAACATTTCTCTGTCTATTCCCTAAACATCTCCGCTGTTTTTCTGACTTGTAATGACCCTCTGACGTCACTAAAACCACACCCCTGTTGGTTCTTTCAACCAATCAGGACTTCCCAAAAGTGACCGGAAGCAGAACTCTTTAAAAGTCGACTCTTCCTAGTTCCAGTAGTGCGGAGGGAAAGTGCTAGTTCTGAACGTTCTAGTTGGGAGAAGTTCAGGAGAAAGTTCTTAAGAGTGTTCTGATGGAGTTCGGCTGGAGTTCTTGTCGGAGCCACGACGCCTCGCTGTGGCTCCACCCGGCGAGTGCCCTATAACTTCTGAGGAGGTTTGTTCTGTGGAACGGATTATCTCGCGACTTCTGCCGAGTCGCAGCCGCCCTGAGGAGACGCTGAAAGGTAGTGTGCCAGGGACCTCTTGACCGCAGCTGATTCATCCTCTGCCAAGGTAAACAGTCGTCATGAGCTTCACTACCAGTGTACCGCGGGCGAGCTGCGCTTGAAAAGAGCGTGTAGTTCTGGTTTACAGACATACATCCTCATCCATCTTTTCTCTCCATTTAAACTCCTTCATTTATCATCTTTAAACTCTTCTATCTTGCCAGTAATTAATCCAGATATCTTCCGAAATGTCTGTTGTTTTTATTAAGTAAAACGTGCCAAGTTTTATTAATCAGAGCCGATCAGTCTAGTCAAGTGTACAATGTTTTGATGTTAAATTTTGATTCTGTTAATAAATGACCACATTTATTTTGATGGGTCAAAGAAAATTAAAGTCTCATGTCACTGATTAAACCGTCTCCAACATAGTACCTCTGTCACATATCTGTCAAGTAGCTCGAAAAAGTGAGAATCCATTATTAAATATTGATTGTAGTGGAGCTCTTAAGCTAACTGAAGCTAACTGAAGCTAACCTAGCCCTATCTCACTACAATCCGAAAGACTTCTTCAGTCTGAGGTGCTGTATTCAGCTCAGTCTCTTAAATAGCACCTTCTCAGAGTGGATCAACCAGTTTGCTGCTGACAACCAAAACCAGCTGCTCACATGGTCAAGAAGGACCATGAGCCTTTTTGAGTAGTGTCTGTCTTTTTTATTCGATACTGACTTTTTATTGAGTTAAAATCTATCAAAATATTTTTGTCAAAAAAAGTACAGTATGCAGTTAAACCATTTCTGTCCAAGTTCTATAGGTCGTATCAGATTTATTTGGTGGAAAGTCAAGATCGTGAGCGCACCATCTCAAGATCCTAACCGTCTCATGCCAGCCATTCTGGTTAAGAAAAAGTAACCAAAGTTTCAGTGATAAAATAATCCACTGACTACCCCATTTGAATTCCATCCATCCATCCATTATCTTTACCCGCTTATTCCATTTTGGGTCACGGGGGTCGCTGGTGCCCATGTCCAGCAATCACTGTACGAGGGACGGGGTACACCCTGGACGGGTTGCAAGTCCATCACAGGGCCACATAGAGACAAATGAGACAAACAACCATTCACTCTCTCATTCACACCTAGAGACAATTTAGAGTTACCAATTAGCCTAACATGCATGTTTTTGGTCTGTGGGAGGAAACTTGAGTACCCGGAGAAAACCCACGCATGCACGGAGAGAACATGCAAACTCCACCTAGAAAGGCCCCTGGACTGGGGTTTGAACCAAGGACCTGCTCGCTGAGAGGCAGCAGCTCTACCGGTTGAGCCACCGTGCCCCCCCCCCCCTCCTATTTGAATTGTTTCTTAATATTTTTTTATCCCCTAAGTTTGTCTGACTTTGGCAGTCTCTTGATGAAGTAGCTATTTCTATTT